CATATTAATATAATTTTTTTATATGTGCCCGTGCTTAATTTTTCTTTTATTTTTTGTAATTTTTATTTTGCTAAAAACACTCTCTAAATGTAATCCTTTTTTAGTATACTTCTTTTAAATAGTTTTTTTTCTTTTTTGTGATCGTTCTCGTTGAAATCTATTTTGCTAGATGTGTCTCTATCTATTCTCTTTTATATAATTCTTGTTATTCTAATGGCAATACTTATAAAATCTTTGTTATTCTAACTAACTAAGATGTTTATTATTAAATAAATTAAAAGAAATAACACGGTAATCAAAACTTAACACACAGATTACTCTCTAATAATTAAAACTTAACACGTAAATTACTTTTTTCGTGTGTCATTCAACTAGTATATATGTAAACCACGAGATCAACCTTGAAAATGTGGTTGCAGAAAAAAGAATCACAAAATTTTGGGATTTTTTCATACGGAGATTGAATTTAACAGAACTACTAATCATGGCTAGTTATGTTGCATTCCATTAAAAATACGGAACCAACAACAGATTGGCACTAAGTAAGATAAAAAATGCATTAAAGTTTTTTCTTTTGGTTTACAGCTGTGTGAAAAATGCACCAATATTAACTTAAAATCTTTTCTAATATGCTAACATATTAATATATTAAGTTTTTTATTCATTAAATCTATATAAAATCACTTATAAATTAAAAAATAATTAAATTTAACTGTTATAAAAATCTAACTTACCGGTGCGTTAAAATTTACCAAAAATCTCCCTATTAACTTTTAGCTAATCATTCACCGAGACAAGAAGGTTAAATAATGGCTTGATTTGGTACATTTTCCATTCAGACGAAGAATCCAGCTACTGAAAGAATATTCATTGGGAGATGCTAAAGTTATTGAAAGAATCATTTTCTTTTTCTAGTCAATGAAAGATTTTTTTTGTTTGTTTGTTTGATAAAAAAAAAGGAGACTTTTTTTTGATATATTAATATACTATAGATTAAATTTTATATCCGTTAAAATTATATAAAATCACATAAAAATAAATAAATTTATAAAACTAATAATTAAAAAATCTGATCTAAAATACATAGGCGTAAAAAAAAATCTCCCAAAAAAGAGATGTTAAAAGTTAACGGTATGTCCCACATAATATTTTTGTGGTCATTATTGTCCTTGTGAGACAGTTGTTGATGTACCCCATCAGTTCTATGTGAAGATGATTTGGCCACGTCGAAATTGTGGCCTATAATTGGCAGATGATTTGGCTTGGATTACAAATGGTCGTCCGATTGTACCCCCACCAAAAAAAAAAAAAAAGCAAAATGGTTGCCTGAAATTTTTTTCCAGAGAACATTGGGTTGAATTTTTATTATTTTGAAGCCTCACCGTTGCAAAATCGAGCATACTTTTTCCCTATAACTAGATAAGTCTAGTTATGAATCCGTGTAGAAATGTCTGTAAAATTTGTATTATACTTTTTACAAAATTATTTATGTTTACACAGTATGTTTTCAAAAATGGCATAGCAATTGTCTTCTAAGGATACGAATTTGTAAGTTTTGTTAAGAATATGCACAATGATTTCAAAATCCTTGCCCCATATGAAGCAATTCTTATTTTCTAATCCCAATTTCTTAGAGATAACTTAGCCTCGTTTATTTTATAAATTTAAATTACTGTTCAAACTTTTTTATTATAGTATTTTCTCACATAAAAATTTAAATTTATGTTGAAACCTAAAAATCAAACGATCATTGGATAATTTTACTTGTATACTACAAAAAAAATTTGATTTAACTATGCATGTTAGACGACGGTTTTGTCATATACCATCGTCTATTGGCTAAATAAAAACACGTCATAGAAATTGATGTCCCGTGGTGGATAGTCTATATTTGCACATTATGCGACAATTTCTTGTTAATCATCGTCTAAAGTGAACGGGGACTTTAAATTTGGTCCCATCTCTCTCTTTCATCGAAAAACTCTCACAAAACCTTCTTTCTCTCTTACGAACTCTGCCGCCGTCTAGCCCTTCCTCTTGCGCCATTGTCCAGCGGCTTCATGCAAATCGTAGCATTATATGTTGACGCACAAATAAAAATAGTACCGTATCACAATTGATGCTCTAAATATATTTAGTATTAGTATTTATAATAGAAATGGTCTAAGTTCTTCCTTGCAAAACTCAATAACAATTTAATTGCATAGAAAAGATAAAATCTATTAACATTTTCAACCAAAATGAGGGTTTTGGTTCAAACAAATCAATTTCTTTTAATGTATGCGTGCGTGTGTGTGTAGATATATATATATATATATATATTCATTTGTCCTTATTGAATTGATTTGTCTTAAATATCTCTACTAGATATATTTTCTCAATCTTTTAACTATTATTTTCTCCAAGTTTATCCCATTTAATTATATTTTTCTTTAATTTTACCTTATTGAAATAGTTTTTTTTTATAAAAAATTTGACATCATATTTTTTTTGGGAGATAAGTGCAAAAAAGGCCCTTTTTTGACCTATCTTTTAGTAAATTAATAGAGTTTTATAAAATTAGAGAAATGGATTTTTATCAATGATAAATCAAGATAAAGTTAATAACAAACTAGTTTATCACTGATTGATTTAGTGGTTTATTATTTTTTCACTAATATTAGTTAATAATAAATCAATAATAAAAAATTCACCAGTTTATAAGTAATAAACCATTGGAAAATAAATGGTATATATTAGTGATCAACCAGTGTAAAAAAAATGGTCATTTTCTTTTTTATTAAAAAAAAAGTTCAGTCGTTTACTTGAAAAATACATTTGGCTATAAATTTAATAGGGATGGATAAGTTTGACCATCTACTAATGTTCCCTTTTCTTTTTACCGTTTCAAACACATATCATTATCTGGTATTGTTTTTCCTAATTTCCCCAACTGAATTTCTTTTTCTCTCTATATTTAACTATAATATACATTTTGGTTAGCTTGTCTATTTTTTTCTTGGTACATCGTTAAAAAACTATTTTCTATGATTTTTCCTATTCAAATAATTTTTTTTCAATCACGTCTCTAATTAAACATATCTTTTTGTAGTTTTTTTTTACAGCCACAGATATTTAATTCCTTTTTATAGCCACAAATATTTAACATTTTAAGTTATTTTACCTTTTACCTTTTTGTTAATTTTTATCAAAAGCTTTACTTGCTCTAAAGACATTGAATTTAATATTAACTAATAAAATTTTCTTATTGACTAAAATTTACAGAAATTATTAGAAACAAGTGCAATTTTAAGTGAAAATTACTTTATGATGATTAATTTTAAGTGAAAATATCTAATAAACTCTTGGGTTGTTTGGTTTGAGGATTCGCACTCCGATTCGAATTATGGTTCATGGTTCGCTACAGTATTTTCTCTCACAAAAAATACACATAAATAAAAAATAATTCTAATCTTATGATTATAATCTATGAACCAAACGTCTACTTAAAAATTGTACTACTTCTTACACTTGTGTTCCTAATAAATTCAACGAAATGAACACGCACACGTGCTCTAGAGTTGCCTCCAACTAGTTCTTCAATTCAGACCACCCTCGGGCACGGTGCGTACTTTAAATTTGAAAACTTCTGACGTATTAATGAAAACCAATAACGCGCACGCTAACCTCTTCTTCTATGTAGCAAGCATCGTTCAACAGATCATACGTACAATTTTTAACGTCATAAATAGTGTCAAACGAACTATATTAGGACACGTTATTTAAAATAAAAAACATGAAATACCTATCTTACTTTTACACGTTTTAGTGTTTGAGATTATTACGTATCATATACTTTGTTAGACAATTTAAAATACCAAAATTAGACAGTAGATCTCTGTAATTTTTGTACGTGCCAACGGTAGTCTCCACAGGTGAAAAAATTGGACGCCAGCCATTTATCATCCTTTTTCGAGGAAGAAACATCGTCAAACTTCCATGTATACTTGCAATTAAATTCAGGTTCATCATCCAGCACAGTCAAACGCTCTCCTTTGAATGTATTTTTTATGACAAAAACCTCTTCCCCAAGAGTGCAATTGTCATTCAGAAGAAAGCCATTGGAAGGATATTCTTGAATGTCTTAAGATCGATGAATTTGGCAACACCCTATATATATATATGTATATATATCTATCGATATAAATTGAGGGATCCAAATTTCAAGCAATAAACTCGGAAATAATGAAAAAAGGTGTTTGACCCTACAATGCTATGTAGCATCAAAATTTAGTAGAAAATTCTCACAAAAATTTTAGGGATTCTTTATGGTGGAACCTCAAAAAGTGCTCCACCAGTGAAATACTATTTTTTTAACTGTTAGATTAAGTTTTTAACAGTCAAATTTGTACAACCTCGTATTAAAAATTTATAGCGCGACACACAAAATTACTCTTATTATAGATCTTACCGTTGAAAAAGTAATCTAACAGTAAAAAAACAACACTCCACCGATAGAGCACTTATTGGGATTCCATCCGAAAGAATCTCAATTTTATGACGGACCAAGTCTGAGAATTTACCACGAAATTGACAAATTAAAGATATAGGCATAGAGCACTTTGAGAAGCTCAAAATAGAGAATGGTAACTTTTACACGGTAAGAAAAGGAAAAAACAGAAAATTGAAATAAAAAAAGGACTTTTTCTAAGGAAGATTGAGGGAAATAGGTCCAGATGTGAGGTCCAAATTTGAGAGGAATTAAAATTAATATGTCAATATTTAAGAGAAGTTAATAAATAGGCCAATCTGATGTACAGCTGGATTTACAACCAACTAAAATTTCAAAAATACACTCGGTAAATCTTAGATTTACTGTGTATAGCTCAAGGAGTTATGACATAAATCTGTAAGATACAAAACATCACAACATGCTTTTCAACAAAAGAACGTCCCCTTGGAAAAGTTTTACTAATCATCAGATAACATTTTAACAAAAAAAATAAAAATAAAAATAAATTAAACCTCTTGTATACATTGTTTGGACTTTGGACGCAGATTCAAAGCAATAATCTTACGGTATTCAATTAAAATAAAGATAAATTATTGAAAGAAGGTGAGAAGATTAGCTCCTTCCCAAGTAAGGCTTGAAATAATAATGCTACAAACTTTATCTGGTTCAGTATAATATAAGCAAACAGATTGGTATAAATGTACAAAAGATTGGGTAGAGATATTGTTGGCTCTACTTGAAAGAGTTGAAGAAGTTGACAGTATCATTTAGGGCGTGAATGAAGTAGTCGACATCCTCTTTGGTATTGTACAAGTAAAGACTTACACGGGCACTCGCACTGATTCCTAAACTGCGATGAAGGGGTTGAGCACAGTGGTGACCAGATCTGATAGCCACACCATGCTGAATTTACGCGTATGTTAGTGGTCATTTGAGATCCCTTTCGCAACAATTAAGAGTATGTGTTCTCAAATCTTTTCTTAAGAATTACCAGACTTATAAATCTTGTTGGTTACCTGTTGATCAAGAAAAGTAGCAATGTCCGTTGGGTGAATGCTCTCAATATTGAATGAACAAAGTGCAGCACGACGGACATTTTCTGAAGGTACTGGCCCATATATGCGAACATTAGGAACTGATCGAAGGCTTTCGTATAGATAGTTTGCCAGGTCTACCTGTAAAAACAATAAACTAAAATAAAAATCCACCCAAAAAAAAAAAAAAAGTGACGTGGAGAGATGCATTGGATGTCCCATTTCCTAGCTTCTAAAGGTAATGAGGCTAGTGTCAGCCTTCTCTAGCAGAAGAGAAACTGGAGGGGGAAAAAAAGCATAGAAACGTTTTAACTAACCTCATAATCATGTATCCTTTGCATACTGATTGCTGACAAATAATCAATTGCTGCTCCTAATCCTACTGCTTCTCCGATTGCTGGTGTTCCAGCTTCAAATCTGATTTAGTAAAAGGTTGATGAATACACATGCACCAGACAGTAAAATTCTAAACAAGTTCCACCGACCTGGATGGTGGTTCTGCGTAAGTGGAATGATCTAGAAATACATCAGAGATCATCTCACCACCACCTAAAAGATGTGAAATCATTAGTACTGTAATAAATCGCAAATACCACAACTCCAACCCAGTATTATAGATGTGAAAGAACTTTTGCAAAGAGAAATTAAATTCGGAACGCACAAAGTCAACTTCAAAAGGACGTTAAGTTACCTAAGAATGGAGGCATGGAAGACAAGATATCGCTCTTTCCATATAGGAATCCGACGCCTGTAGGCCCACACATCTGAAGCATTTCCTTAACTTGATAACTAGCCCACAAGCCTAAAATTTCAAAAAGAATAAAGCAGTATCCTAACCTTATGAGAAGATGCAACAAGAAAATCAGCATCAAGGTTCTGAACATCAACCGCCATGTGAGGAACACTCTGACAAGCATCGACTAATACTTTGGCTCCAACATCATGCGCCCAAATCACAATGTCTTCAACAGGAAGAACGGATGCTAAAAAAAGAGAAATATATATATATATATATATATATATGTAAATATGGCCATTTAGTTTAATGCGCAAAACTTCTAAAAGCATAATCATATAAATTGATATCATATCAGACATGCAGAAACATATACGAGACACGTATAGAAGCCAAATTTTTGAGTCCTGTAAAGAGACAGCGGAATGGAGTATATAACACACACAAAAGGAAAGGGAGAGACATACCCAACACATTTGAGACATGATGAACTACTACAAGTTTTGTTCTCGTCGACAACAATTTTTTCAACATGTCTATATCTGGAACCTCATCTTGATTTAAGCTCACAAATTTCAGAACAGCACCAGTCTTTTGGGCTACAAATTGCCAAGGAACAATAGCACTGTGATGTTCAGCTATTGTAAGTACAATCTGCAAAATAGGAATATTACGTATATGTAAAGTAGGATATGCAGATTGCTAAATGATGCTAAAGTTCATCCCATGTGAAACCCTGAAAAAATTATAAAACATTGTGGTGAAAAAGCGCATGTACATGTTTGCTGCTTTGAAACAGAGTGCATTTAATGAATATGTTTTTCCAACCTCAACGGGAAAGACAACTCGCAGAACATAATAGAGGAATAACACAACTACTTGCAGTCCGCAATAAATTTATTAAAAGGAAAACAAATATTACACCAAGCCCAGGGGCAACTTAGGAAGCCTAACCCGTCAAAGAATGCTAAACCATAGAATATACATTTCATCATCTTTTTTTCTCTGTTCTTTTTTTCTTTTTTGTCTTTTTGAAGAAACCTCACAGAGGAGGTGAAAGAAATTTATCAAAACGAAGAACAAAATATTACACCTAGCCAGAGGGGAACTTAGTGGTATGTGTGCAAGTGTGTGTCATCACAAAAGAACAAATCAACCAAGCTCAGCTACACTGCATATCTCTTAATCATTAACTCAAACTAAGAGCATATGTCTTTTCAATACAACTATAAGATTAGGTCCTAAAACCTTCATAAATAGGCCGAGCAAATGCATCACAGGCATGAAGATGCTTTAAAATTAAAGTTGATAAGAGAGTGCACTCACAATCTAGCTGACGTGACAGTAAATGCCAGCAAAAAAAAAAAAAAAAACAAACAAACAAAAAATGACAAGTCACTTTCCGTGGCTTCTTTGTGAAACAACTATGGACACCCTACAGATCCACTAGGTCTTGCATCTGTACAAAAACCATCAAGCTTGATTTCAAAATTTAATGCCCGAAGAACTCACGTGGAAGTTCCAAACTGTTAGTTAGCTCAGTATTATCTGATGTCTCTTAATCAATGGCCATAACTTTAACAAGAAAGAAAATCCATCTAGCTCTATCAAATCCATGAATAGGTGAGGTTACACCCATGATGGATTAGAGAATAAGCCACTGATCCTTTATGAAGCAAGCAACATGCAGGTGGGCTTCCTAGGTTACTAGAACTTATGTATATGTCGGTTGTGGATCCCACTGGGATATTGTTAGGCACAAAGGGGTGTCGTCTAGGAAATACGACAAGGTTTATCAAAGGGGTGCGAGACATGTTTTTGGTTGGGGAAGGGACATGAGTGCATGAGTGGGGAGCGGTCAAATAGGAGGCTGCTAACGTGGATGCTAGGTGGTTAGGCTTAGGTATTAGCGACCTAGGGATTAGGGTGGCTGTAACGGTTTTGGGTGGGTTTAAGGGGCATGATTGTTTAGGGGGGATTTTATCATATTTTTACTAGACTATTCTATTGCTGTATGACCGAGTTGAGCTCGTGGTTTCCCGGCGAGATTAATGAATTTGATTCCTTTGGTTGAGGTTTCCTTTCAGTAACTTAGTTGTGGTGTTTTGGTTTCCGTTGTGTGGGTGTGTTCCGGTTGTGTGTTGTTGGACTGGTTTTGCAAGGTACTGGAGGTCCAACAGTTTGGTATCAGAGCGTTGGTCTTGGGAGGGCGTTAATGGCGAAAGCTACAACTCGAGCAGATCGAATGGAGGAGGTAGAGAAAAAATTGGAAGAACTGAATGGGAAGCTTACCAGTGTAACCGAGATGAATGAACGGTTTGCTGGGTTACTGCGGATGGAAGAGATGCTCAAAAATCTTCCTCAGCTGGTGGCGAAAATGGTGAGTTCTCAACAGATGAAGGTGAGAGAGGCGGAAGTGGAGAACTCTGCCATGGCGAAGGGGAAGACCCCCGTGATGGAAAGCTCCGGAGGCAAAGAATCGGAGATGCTGCTGACAATGGTCGTCCTCACTACCATGGACGAGCGGATGGAATCCGCCATCGAAGGCCGGAATTGGAGGAAGATGAACGGACCCAAAATGTCGCGGGAAATCGAGACACCGCCTGGAGAGAGATTGAGCAGCGGAACTTCGAGCATGAGTGAAGACGGAGGGGGGAGTTAAGCCCGCCATGGCCGCGTGGTGACCTTAGTCCACTAGGCTACCAGAGATGTAGGAATTCAAACTAGCCGTATAGGGCATTAGTTAGTTTCCTAATTTTGTGGATCTATAGTTACTAGAAGATATTATTCTATTGTATATAGCTGGAAGTGATTTTCTGTTAGTATCTGATTTTTAGCTCCTAGAAATCAGGATCAATCTCAACGGATCCTTGTGTATATATATGTTCCTAATTGTTTCTAATGAATCATCAGAAAATTCCAATTATATTATGCTTCATGGTATCAGAGCCACAGGTTTCTGAACCCTAGTTTCCATCTCTCTGGCCGCCGGCCCTAGCTCTAGTTCATCTCTCTGACCGCCGGCCCTAGACCTTCCTCTATTCCCATATTTTTCACCTCTGTGAAAATTGAGCCCCTACTCTCTTACTCTCTCAGAAATCTCGTCCACCATGGCAGACTCTAAGCAGACTTCCAGGGACTCATCTTCATCTACCACTTCATCTCTCAATACTCCTATCAATCCTCATATCACTCCCGAAAACAGTATGACCCCTATCATCAACCACAAACTCAATGGCCACAACTATCTCCAATGGTCTCACTCCATGATGATGTTTATCAGTGGACGAGGACGTGATGATTATCTTACAGGTGTGGCTGTCCAACCAGATTCTAGTGACTCTAAATTCAAAACTTGGAGGGCAGAAAACAACCTAGTTATGTCTTGGTTAATTAGTTCAATGACTACTAAAATAGGAGAAAACTTCCTCCTTTACACTTCAGCCCAAGAAATATGGGACGCAGCTCGTGATACATTCTCCAGCAGTGAAAACACTGCAGAACTCTTTCACGTGGAGAGTATCCTACATGACCTGCGACAAGGAGAGAATACAGTCACCATTTTCTTCACCACTCTGACGAGGTATTGGCAACAATTGGACCTATTTGAATCTCATGAATGGAAGTGCCCTGATGACCGCACCTGTTTCAAGAGAATAGTAGAGACCAAACGCATCTTCAAATTCCTGATGGGTCTTGATAAGTCTCTTGATGAGGTGCGAGGTCAAATACTCGGAACCAAGCCCTTGCCCAGTCTCCGGGAAGCCTTTTTCAAGGTACGTCGAGAGGAAAGCCGCAAACGAGTCATGATGGGACATTCAAACACACCCATTTCCACTGATGGCTCAGCCCTTGCCGCTGCCAGAGACCACCCGTCCACGGTTGAACCAGCCGCCTGGGCTGCTCACGGAACCTCTCAGACTCCTGGCGACAATCGGCCACGAAGGGGACGTCCCTGGTGCGACCATTGTAAGAAGACTGGCCATGTCAAAAAAACCTGCTGGAAGTTACATGGAAAGCCACCAGATTGGAAGCCAAATAGGGCTACTGGTGACCGTGAGAGTCGGGGATATATAGTCTCAATAGAAGGAACTAAAACCCAGAACCAAGTCTCCTTCACAAAGGACCAACTAGAACTTCTTCAGCACCTGATGCGCAGGGAGCGGGTCTGTCAGCCGGCTCAGTGGCAACAGGCGCAGGGAGCGGGTCTGTGAACAACAGTGGAAATCAGGCCCTTCATGTTGCCCAGTCACCCTCAACCTCTTGGATAGTAGATTCAGGCGCATCAGATCACATGACAGGTGAGAGATCACTTTTCTCAACTTATACTCCATGTCTGGGACAGTGCGTATTGCCAATGGTTCACGCTCGAGAGTTGGTGGAATGGGAACCATATATCTCTCGAGCAATATTACTCTACATTCAGTGTTATTTGTACCTGACCTTGATTATAACCTACTCTCTGTCAGCAAACTAAACTGTGATCTTAACTGTGAGACTAAATTTTTTGCCAAATCTTGTGTTTTTTAGGACTTGGGTTCGGAGAAGACGATTGGCAATGCTGAACTTTGTGCAGGCGTATATCTCCTCAAAGTAGACACCTCTTCTGCCCCAGATCAGAGTCATAATAAGAATAGGGTCAAACCTCAGTGTTGGCCATTCAGAGTCATGAGTCAACAAGTCAGTCCAATAAAAACAGTGCAATAATGTTGTGGCACTACCGTCTAGGTCATCCAAATTTCTTGTATTTGAAACGCCTATTTCCATCATTGTTCATTAATTAAGATGCCAAGTTATTTCAATGTGATGTTTGCCAACTATCAAAGCACACCCGAAGTACATATATCCCACGACCACACACCAACTCACCCATTTTCACTTATCCATGGGGATATCTGGGGACCGACCAGAATTCCCAATATTTATGGAGCTCGGTGGTTCCTATTTGATGATCATACCCGGTTAAGCTGGACTTTCCTCATGAAAGATAAATCTGAAACCAGCCAAATCTTCAAAAATTTTCATGTCATGATTCACACTCAATTTCAGGCCACCATTCAAGTCCTCAAAACTGACAATGCCCGTGACTTTTTCAACTCCGTTCTTAGTCCTTATCTCCAATCATATGGCATTGTTCATCAAAGCTCATGTGTGGACACACCCCAACAGAATGGTGTGGCAGAACGCAAAAATCGTCATGTGCTTGAAGTTGCTCGTTCATTACTCTTCCAGTCTAATGTACCTAAGAAATTCTGGGGTGAGGCTGTTCTTACAACCACCTATCTCATCAATAGGATGCCCTCACATATTCTCCATTTCAAAACTCCAGTGAACACTTTTCTTGACTCCTATCCACACTCACATTTACTCTCTCAAATTCCCCTTAGAATATTCGGATGCACAACATTTATTCATATCTACCCTCACAGCCGGGGCAAACTGGATGAAAGAGCACTCAAATGCATCTTCATTGGATACTCACCAAACAAAAAGGGATATAAATGTTTTTCACCTATCACCAAAAAGGTCTATCATACCATGGATATCACATTCTTTGAAGATAAGCCTTTCTATCCCAATTCTGTAATTCAGGGGGAGACAAACACACATGAATCACAAAATTGGGACTGGACTTCTCTCATTAACCCGGTAAC